AATAAATCAGACGGGAGTCAGTCCGAGGGGGTCCAAACAAGATGATAACAAAAGCGGGCACGAGACCAGCCTTGTTCAGTTAGCCGCGTCTGACGAGGGAAGGACGGTGCAGGGGAGAGAAGGGCAAGGGACGAGCGCGGGCCAGGATTGTTTTATACTCATCTCGAGCCCCAAGCAGCTCTGCAACTAACCCGAAAAGATAGGGGGGGTCTAGAAGAGGAGCAAAACAAAAACCCCCCCCAAGTAAAAAAAAAAGTCAAGCCAAAAAGACAGCAACCAACAGTACGAAAGATCCATGAGGATGGCATGCAACCCTTAGTTAGCTACAGCGCTACACTCCGCCAGGTGGAGCTAAAGTTGTTCGGTCGGTTCTCACCGAGCGAGGTTAGCGTTGGGGCCGGGGAAGACAGTAGGAGTAAGGTATGTACGGAGTACTGATACTGACAGTGGGCACTGATAGTGGACACTGGCACTGAGACAGTGGTAGTACATAGTAGGTACATACCTTGGGGACTGTCCATGTATGTAGTACATTGGCCGTGGCTTCAATTGGAAGCCTGAAGGGATCATCGAGTGGCAACTGCACGCAGCATCCTCCAGGCCTCGTAATGGCTACCTACTCCCTAGAGAGCTCCAGCGTACATGATGACTCTCTGCGCTGTCGTAGGCTGAGCAGGCTCCCTCTGTCGGACAAGGATGCGCGTTCATCAGTTCTCGGACAGGCCGAGAGACTGGAAGCTCTGGAGGAGTGGCGCGCATCGCGGTCTCTGCTCGAAGGGACTGGCTGGATTGTCGATGCTGGAGCAAGCTGGAGCAAGCTGGATCAAGCTGGATCAAGCTGGATCAAGCTGGATCAAGCACTGGTGCCGTCGCAGCCAAAGTCCTGCAACCTATGAGGAATTGAAGGGGCCTGGGGAAGTCGGCCACGGTCCACCACGTGCCCGCACGTGCCTTGGCGACTGGGCGACGGCCTCGGGCGGTCACCCGTTCTTGCCTTACAGGATATTTCATATTATTATTATTATTATTATTATTATTATTTTATTATTATTATTAAGAACAAGACTTCCATTATGGAGCCTTTACTACATATTGTTTGGTCCCAGTGGAACGTTCTTACCTACTCTTACTGCCTGTACCGGGATCCGGCAGGGCACATGCACACTTGAAATGAGGAGTGGAGTAAGAAGTTTGGTAGATACTGTACCTACTACATAGTACGGAGTAGTTCATGTGAACGGATTAAAGGTATTTTGATAAGATGATACACAGACAGATAAACTCTATCAATCTTATTTGTGGAAGACATTATCAGACTGTTACCTTAGGTAGTTACCTACCTTCAGGTACCTACCAGGTACGGCTAGATATCTCACAGTACCAGGTAGGTAGGTACCATTACTATAGATAAGTAGAGTACTACCTACTGCTCACTCCTGTCTACCATGATCAATATCCACGCGTGGGTTGACGCCATCTACTAAGCACGGGAATCCTCCGCCAACACGAGGCCACGCGCTGGTGACCCCGATTCAGGGAGTTCTCCGTACACCCAAATCAACTCCCAGTCTCTAGTGGCGAGGCGCATCTTGAAGCCTTTCTAATGAAGACCACGATTTGGCCCACGTGCAGATCGAGGCGTTCCGCCTCCCTGTCGGAAGTTTTGCGCTGTCATGCAACAGATTTAAGAACCGCGTTTTGGCCCGACTAATAAGAATACCTACTAACGAGTCACTAGTCAAATTAGATAGTCTACGAGTACTATTAGACCCAGTGGACTGCCACATAAGTACCTACTAAGTACCTCTAGGTACTAGGTACCTAACCTAGTATGCCGAAACTATGCATTCCATAAACTTAAATTCGTTCACAAGCACATGTCAATTGCTACTGCCGGAGTACGACTTCACGACCGCGTTTCCTCTGTATGCTCCGAGTCAAATATTCAACGCCTCGCGTCGGAGCACTTCCTTCCTGGAACTCTAATTTTCCAGACTCGTTGGCAGTTTGTGCCGACATTATCGACAGCCACAAGACCTGAGAAACGTGTGCCTCGACAGTCTACCTAGTGTCTACGTAGCTGACCGCTATATAATTAAAGAAGGTATACGTCCCCTTTCCCCTATCGCTGTACTAACTTTCTGTTTCTTTGTTTCGAATTTATTCTTATTCTACCCATGTTAATAGAGCGTACCCCTGCCCTATAAGACAGAAGGATGGTTAAGCATGTAGATACAATTTGACCAGTCTAGAACCTATTCATATCAAGACTATCATATCAAGTATATCAAGATATCATATCAAGTGCTATTACTGTATATCAAGTACTCCGTACTAGGTTCAAGTCCAGCACTTGTGTAGACTACTAACTATAGATTCTCGGAGAGATCCGATGCGTCTTGCTCATGCTAAGGCCAGTGCTAAGACTCAGCCCTGCATGAACTTGTTTAATTAATCGAGCCAGAGTTGACCAGGTCAACTGGTGATGACAGCTGTACCTCAAAAAGTAAACAACAGACTAATATATGCCGGAATGGAAAAACTTTCTGCCAGCTCAGCTCAGGCGGTGATCCCATCCCGATTCCCAACTCTCCGCCTGGCGACCACCAAACAAGATAGTCAGCTCTCATCTGCCTGTATCCAACGTTCGCTCTCTCCTTCGTAATCACATCGCTCCGTTCCTTCTTGTCAACCTAGCAGGTTCCTGCCTCCCCCGCGCGAGTCTCGACCACCATGGGGTCCGATCCGCAGTACATCACCTTCCCCGACCTGACCCTCGCCCAAGATGTCTTCAACCTCTCCAACTCGTCGTGCTCGCCGGCCGTGCAGAAAAAGTCGCTGAAGAAGCTTCAAGATGCCATCTCCGAGCACAAGATGGCTCCCTTCTATCGCTTTCTCGCTCACCCCGTCGACGGCATCCTGAACCCCTCCGGCGAGGGAGTTCCGCAGCATCCATCCACCACGGCAAAACCCATCCTCACATCCAGCATGCTGGCTTCCCGGAAGTCGCTGCAGAAGATCGATTTCCCCTGGGATGAAGCTCTCTACCAGTCGTTGCTGGATGATAACCAGAAGGAGCTAGAGACCTTTCAGAAGGAAGAAGACGAGGCGGAGGAGGCCGCGGGAGAAACAGAGGTCCTGGCCGCGAGGGGGAAGCGCGCCGAGTTCTGGGCGCGAGTAGGAGACAAGGTCAGTCTTTTCTCTTTTCTTCTCTTCTTCTTTTTTCGTATGTGAATTGTCTAAACTTTGATGCAGGACAAATCCATCGAATCGCTTGAAGCCCTGCTCGAAAAGACTTCGTTCCTCGGCACAAAGATCGACATCGTGCTTGCCATGATCCGGATCGGGCTTTTCTTTGGAGACTCATTCTCTGTAAAGAAGAATCTGGAGAGAGCCAACACCTTGGTCGAGAGTGGCGGTGACTGGGACCGGAGGAACCGCCTCAAGGCCTACCGAGGCCTGCATCTTCTTACCGTCCGTTCCTACAGTGTTGCTGCTCCTCTGCTTCTGGACAGCCTGTCAACCTTTACGAGCTACGAGCTCTGCAGCTACTCGGCGCTGGTGGTCTACTCGGTCCTTGCCGGGTCTCTGGCCCTCAAGCGAGTCGACTTCAAGGCCAAGGTGGTGGATGCCCCCGAAATCAAGGCCATCCTGGGTGATGGCGAGGACCGTCTTGCTGCCCTGACCGGCAGCGTGTCTGCCGGGCCCTCCGCTCAGGATGAGGACATGAAGGATGCCCCTACGTCGACCGCCACCCCGGGGACAGCCACCACGATCGTCAACCTCACGACATTCGGGACCGGCTCTGGGAACCAGGCCGAGATCGAAACCCCGATGGACTTTTCACCTCTGTCCAACTTAGTCAACAGCCTCTACAATGGTAACTACCGCTCATTTTTCACCGCTCTGGCGGCCGTGGAGGATCAATTTCTCACCCAGGACCGCTACCTCCACGAACACCGGGCTTGGTTTGTCCGGGAGATGCGGCTGCGCGCCTACCAGCAGCTTCTTCAGAGCTACCGGGTGGTCGGTCTGACCAGCATGGCCAATGACTTTGGTGTCACCGTCGACTTTTTGGATCGGTATGCTCTCTCTTTCTCTTACAACTTATCCTGTTTATGTAGCTAAATTTTCAGCGACCTGGCCAAGTTCATCGCAAGCAACCGGATAGCATGCACCATTGACCGAGTCAACGGGATCATCGAGACCAACCGGCCAGATGACAAGAACAAGCAATATGCGGATGTGGTGAAGCATGGCGACTCTCTGATCACAAAGCTGCAGAAGTACGGCCAGGCTGTACGGCTGCGTGGCAGTGAGCGGAGCTGAGTCTTGACGACTTTTTCTCCCCCCCCCCCAATCCCGTTCTAGAGCAAAAGCAATGCAAGCTGCTGTACCACTAGACGTAATGAAGATGCACGACCATTCGGTCAAGTCCTTGGAAGTTTTAAGCATGTAGCCAAAAGGTAGTCTTTTCGTAGGATTATTTTTATAGAAAGACTGGGGAGCCTCTCCATCCTTAATATATGGTCTAGTAGCAGGTCTGTAATATATATTATTCAATTAATTATATATGTAGTAGGGCCTCTAGTATCTTAATACTTTGAACAGAAATAAATAAAAACCTAGTAGATTAAAATATTATTGTCATATAGAAAAGGTAGTTAAGTACCTGGTATTATGAGAAGTTATATCTTCTAGGAATAAACTGTCCACAACTTTCTCCCTCTTTGCACTCACTGTACAGAGTAGTATTCTTCACCACGCCAGCACCAGCACCACCAACACTACTACTACTACTACTACTACTCAGTATTAATCTATGGCACAAACCATCATGTGAGACCCTGGGTTCCCCCCAGTTCCATGGCTTTCTCCTGGTCCCCCCAGGTTTTGCTGCCAAGGTACGACTGGTATCCAATTGACCATCCCCCATTACTCTGTACTTCCAATTTTCTTGAAGACGATTGACGGCGATTGACCCAACCAGGATAGAAACAGCCGCCGTCAGGGATGACCCTCTTCTCCCTTTCTCTCCTCCCCCCCTCCCTGTCTCTCGCCATTCGCTCGACTGCCCGTGGTAAGATGTGCTGCAGTGGAGAGAGCCCCAGGCATCCAGACGCTGACTCAGCAGGCATGCCCAATGGCGGCGTCTGCATTCCTCACCGCCCCCGACTTCTCCCATCGCCGTCTTCCGAGCCTCGCAGCGCGCCCCCCCCCCCCAAAAAAAACCACCGTCAGTTTGTGGTGGCTCAACCAACTGCTTTGCTTACTCGTCGTGACACCTGTGGAGAAATCGCGCAGTGCGGATGCTACACAGAAATATGACCCTGTCCGTTAAGCTCGCCGTTGGCGTCCGATCTACGGCGCTACGATCCTCGATTCCCCGACGGAACGCGTGGTCCCAGTCGTGCCGCCCCTTCAATGCCAGTGTCCCGCTCGGGAAGCCTGCCGGGGGCTCGAGGGTGTTATCGTCAGGTATGGACAGTTCGGCTCGGATCCCTGCGCTACGGTGGTTGCCTTCTTCCTTTGGCTGTGTTTCGCTGTCTGGGGCTTTACTCGATGTTTCTGCCGATTGCTTTGCTTTGATTGCTTTTTTCCCCCTTCTCCTTCCCCCACTCCTCCAATCATGCCAGGACGTCTCGTGTTCGATCATACGTTGGTGGCCAATGCCCACCCCCCCCTTCTTCTTTCCCCCCCTTCACTATCTCTCTGACTCCCCGCTCGTGGGGTCGTCCCCGCGGCTTGTCAGTCATACTCCGGAGTACAAATACCGGGGACGTTACCTGCACCTTTTGAATGAGAGAGAGCCCTTTCAATACAACTTGTCTTGAACTACCTCACCTTCTGACTCTCTCTCTCTCTCTCGGGATTTAGATTTGAAGATGTCGACTGTGACCGGCACCACGACCACCGGCACCAACACCAGCAGCAGCATCCTGTCGATTGCGCCCAAGCGGGACTTATCGACGAGCACCGATGTGCGCCGGCTGGCGCTGCAGCACGTCAACCCCAACGTACGCAAGGCCAAGTATGCGGTGCGTGGCGAGCTCGCGGTGAAGGCAGAAGAATACCGGGTCCGCCTGACCGAGGGCGACAAGAGCCTGCCCTTTGACAGCGTTATCTTCGCCAACATCGGCAACCCGCAGCAGCTCGACCAGAAGCCCATCACCTTCTTCCGCCAGGTGCTCAGTCTGCTGGAGAACCCCACGCTGCTCGAACAGCCGGAAGTCCTCAAGACCGCGTTTGGGTACCAGCAGGATGCCGTGGACCGGGCCCAGACGTTGCTTCAGGAGGTCCAGAGCGTCGGCGCCTACAGCCACAGCCAAGGGGCCCCCGCCATCCGGGCCAGCGTGGCCAAGTTCATCGAAGAGCGGGATGGGTTCCCCGCCAACCCGCAGGACCTGTTCCTCTGTGCCGGGGCGTCGTCGGGCGTCAGCACGCTGCTCAACGTCATGTGCGACTCCCCCAACTCCGGCGTGCTGGTCCCCATCCCCCAGTATCCCCTCTACACGGCAACCCTGTCGCTCCTGGACGCGCAGTGCGTGCCGTACTATCTTGAGGAACACAAGGCCTGGGGCACCGACATCGACGCGATCCGCTCGTCTCTCCAGATGGCCAAGGCCGAGGGCACCGACGTGCGCTCGATCGTGGTGATCAACCCGGGCAACCCGACGGGCGCCTCGCTCAGCGCCGACGACATCAAGAGCGTGCTCGACATCGCGGCCGAGGAGAGGCTGATCGTCATCGCCGACGAGGTCTACCAGACCAACGTCTTCTCCGGCGAGTTCATCTCGTTCAAGAAGCGCCTCCGCCAGCTTCAACACGAGGTTCCCGGCAAGTACGACCACGTCGAGCTGGCCTCGCTGCACAGCGTCTCCAAGGGGATGGTCGGCGAATGCGGCCACCGCGGCGGCTACTTCGAACTCGTCGGCTTCGACCCCTTGGTCGTCGAGCAGATCTACAAGTTTGTCAGCATCATGCTCTGCCCGCCCGTCATCGGCCAATGTCTCGTCGAGCTCATGGTTAACCCGCCCAAGCCCGGCCAGCCCAGCCACGACCTCTACAACAAAGAGTACTCCGGTATCCGGACCGGTCTGCACCAACGCGCCCTCGCCCTGTATGAAGCCTTCAAGCGTATGGATGGTGTCGAATGCCAAGAACCTCAAGTATATCCCCCTTATCTCTTACTATCTCTTCCTATCTCTTACGTAAAGCCAAGTAACTAAACATATCCAGGGCTCCATGTATCTCTTCCCAACGATCACCCTCCCCGCCAAAGCCATCGAAGCCGCCCACGCCGCAAACCGCGCCCCAGACGAGTTCTACTGTCTGCGTCTGCTGGACGCCACGGGCGTGTGCGTCGTCCCGGGCTCCGGCTTCGGCCAAAAGGCCAACACCCTACACTTCCGCACTACTTTCCTGGCCCCGGGCACTGCCTGGGTGGAGCGCATTGTCAAGTTCCATGCCGAGTTTATGGAGGAGTATAAATAGATGATAGAATATAACCTACATACACTACTACATATACATAATACCACTTACTAAATATACTATATAACTATTACTTTTCTCCATGTCTAAAGTAATACAGCCTGTGAACTATTTCTTAAATAGATATCTAACGTCATGCTAAAATAATCTCTACCCTGCATGTAGTGAAAGAAGCTTCGCTAAGACTCCTGCAGCTGCACACTCACCGCTATCTACTACCCACCTAGGCAAGGCATGGGATACTATTATTGCCATCAAACTGTATTCTGTGCTGTGACTATAGGTCAGATGATTTCTTACAGGTACGTAACCTTAATGCAAAGCTTCACCGCTAATTCGCTCTCCCTGTCTGATGTCATTGTACTGATTGAATTTGGGGAGTATCAGATGTAGGCTTATGTACAAGTGTGGTGCGTGGCATATTCAAGGGCATCGATCTAGGGAGCACAAAGACAGCGCGGAAAGAGGAAGCCTAGGAGAGGAAGGAAGCCTAGACAAGAGAAGAACAGTTTACTGGTATCAATACAATGGATGGAATTTCAATGGAATCAATGCTATATGAATTCGCACGGCTAAATTAGCATAATATCAGGCATGGTTTATCATCATCTCTCATCAGGGTCATCAGACGGTGTGGAGGTGGTGGTAAGGGGCCAACAGGCCAAGCAAGCTACTCGATTGCCGCGACGACCGGGATATCATATCATACCCACGACGAGCGGTAGAACTGCTCTTCCGCCGAGGTGGGGAGCGGGTCGAACAACGCAGCGGGCCAGACGGGCTCGACCGCCGCGGTTGTCGTGCCACTGGTCGTGGCAGTCGTCAGGGGCACGCTGGCCACAGGGGTGGATATAGGCTCGTAGCTTTGCGTCTGCGACATGACATAGGCCGTCGGTGTCGGAAGCGATTTGACGTCCATGGCCATCGTGGCCTGCAGCTGGTGCTCCAGGGCGGCGGTTGACTCGTTGGCCGACTTGAGGAAGTCGTCGATACTGATCGAGTCCAGGTTCGTTGACGACAGCAACTGCGCCTGGGGCAGGCCGATAAACGACGAGGCTGAGCTGAGGCGCAAGTGGTCGACATCCGAGCCCTCACTGACGCTGTGCAGATCCTGCAGATCGTTCGCGGCCGTGGGACCCAGACCCGAGAACGGCCCCCATTCGTCCACCTCCGAGGTGTCCCCAGACGACGAGGGCGCTGGTAACCCGGTCGGGTAATTGCAGTCCATACTAGCGTACGACGGGGCCTGTGTGCTTGTCGTGGGCGGGACGTCCGAGGCGTACAGAGGAAAACTCGACCAATCAACAGGCGGGGCGCTGAAGGCAGCCGAGCGCAGGGCAAAGTCGGTATCGGGAGAGGTGAAGTACTGCTCGTTGTATGGATCTTGGTACGCCAGACAGGAGATCGGAGAGGTGGTGGTGGTCGTCGTCGTTGAAAAAGAGAAGGCGGAAATGTTCATTGGAGGCACGCTGGTGACGATCTGTTCTAGCGGCAGCCTCTCAAAGGGACCTGCCGTGGTAGCAGAAGAGTTCGATTCCTCTTGCGGGGATTGCTGCTGCTGCTCAAGGGGAGCTGACGCTAACGGACGCGGTGGTGGGGTGAACGTGTCAAGGAAGGACGAGAGTTCAAGTGGCGGGATCGGGTTCGTCACATCCTCTAGCGCGGTGATGGGGACACTGTCGGGGGAACCATGTTCGGATTTGACGAGACGGGGCGGCGACACACCGGTCAACTGCTCGAGATGGTCGGCAATATTACTTGTCTTGTTATTGTTGCTGTGGTGTTGCTGGTGGTGATGGCTGCCGGTGCTGGTGTTCTCACCCATCAAGGAGGTCGACGGCAGAGAGGGCAGATGGTCCATGGAGCGACGAGCGATATCTGCGGTGGAATGGACGGTATGGGACCGAGGGATGGTGTAGGGCATTCCACACTTGTGTGCCATGTCATTGTGCTTGTGGGCGGGCTTGTGGTGACCATCACGGAAGACGGTGAGCGTGCTGTCAGACTTGGTCGAGGTGAGCAAGGGCTTCTTCGTCTCCGAGAGAGCGGACGGTTGGGGCAGGCCCGCCTCGGGAACAGGATCTAGATGGTGTTCTTTCTTCAGAGCACAGGAGCAGCGCTGGCCATGTGAGCAGCTACAGCGCGGCCGGGAATCCTCTGTGATGGGAGATCAGAAATGGAGGGGGGCAACAAGTTTCAACCAAACACCATCGTGCTCACTCTTGTCCGAGTCTGGATCACTCTTGTGACCATGGCTCTTCTTCTTGTCCCCGCACTCGCACTTGACGTGGGTTGTTCGTGACTTGCGTAGGCCGCGGCAGTGAGTACATTGGGAGACTGGCCGGCCTTTCTTGTTGATGTGGGTCAAAGGGCGGTCTGCACGCAGCGGCAGGTCAGCTCAGCTTCTCGATCGATCCCGGCTGCATCGAGGGGCAATCAAATCAGGGACCACGTACCACTATGGTGACAGCTGCTGACACGGTGACCCCGGACGCAAGCTTCACAAGCCCACTTCTCGCCATCAATAAGCATCGTCGCGGTTTACTACTGCGAGTACATGCGATGATTCGCGAGAGGATCCAGACAGAAAAAAAAAAGTGAAATGAAATGAGATAAAAATGATTGTCCTAAGAAGACAATCACAAGGAAAACAATCAGATGGTCTAATGAGAGGGTGAATGGCCTAAGGAATAACCATTCACTCTACCAGACTCAAGAGGGGGGGTTCGGTGGTAACTGTGTCACACACAGCAGTGCAATCGAGGAGGACGAATTGGCGATTCGACCGATCAGGAGTGTCAGAGTAAAACCAAGCCAGGGTATCTTCGAAAGCAAGTCCCAAACGCCGTTGTTATTATTGTTCTTGATGAATTTTGTATAGATTTTCCCGCTCGCTCAAGTTGTCTTGTCTGAGGGCTGTACTGCTTCGAACAGGATGCGGGCAGCGCGAGAGCTGGACTGGACTGGACAACGCAACCAGGAACAGGCACACCGAGAATCGAGAACAGATTCGCGAGAGAGGGAAGGGGGGGCCAAAGCCTACGCACCGTTTGGCGCCGGCCGTGAGACAGGACACCAAGTACCGGTAGTGGCGGCCAGAATAGAAAGCGCGGGCGATCGCTGGCGGCGACGAGTCGAGTGATGGTTCAACCCTGTGAGAGAAAGAAGGAGAGGAAACGGGGGGGAGGGCGAGGGCGGGAAGAAGTAGTCGGTTGCTTGGGGGGGCGCAGGCAGGGCCGGCGGTAACGCTGATACCAGGTACTGTAACGGAGTCGAAGGGGGGGAGACGTGGCAGCCACTGCCAGCCAGCAGCCCAGGGATAGACTCGGTACAGTACCAATACGGGCTGAAAGTTACTGCACTGATGGGTCGTATGGGCTGCCGTTGGAAAGGTGGAAAACCGAAAAAAATGGGAAAAATGGGAAAAAAAGAAGGGCAAAGGATGGGAGGGGCGCACCACCTGGCAGAAGTTTGGTTCAGGTTCTAGGTTCAGGTTCAGGCTCCAGTCTCCTGAAAAGAAAGGTCGAGGTACGGGGCAATTATTCTATCTGGTCAAGAAATCGCTAACCATCAAGTAGGCAGGTCAAGGCCTCCACCCCGCCAGCAGCGAGTGGCTGCCCTTTGTTGCTGCGTGTCGTGTCTCGAGTCTTCGACCGATCGGTCATACAGGGCCATGCACCTTGCACAAGAATGGAATGCTTGTTGGTCCACCGACTCGAATAATGGTCCGGATAAGAACTGTCTACAACCGTACTCTGGTATTTTAGCTGTACGTGTTCACGTATGGAGTACAGAGGCCTCTGCTACATTTGCTACATACCCACTTTCCGGGCCATTACTGTCCTTTTCTTTTTCCAAAAATTTCTAAAAAAAAAAAAAAAAGAAAGAAACAAAACCATATTGCTTCGGAGTTCACTTTGTTTTTAGGTTTACAGTGTACGGAGAACCAACACAGTGCCACAAGGCGGCCAGAGTTGGCTCTTGGTGTTGTACCGGCAACCCGACGCGGCGCAGTCGAGAATTCGAGTTTCAGCCTCGTCTGAAAGACCATGTCGGATAGCCATGACGGGCACCGATTCCTGTCGTCGTCAGCCTGCCAGACAATCCTGTTTCGTGGCGCAGGTGAATCGGCGCCGTATCCCTTTCAACCCACGCAAGGGATGGGAATAGATGAGGGCATGGCAAACTCGGGGCTACCAGACAAAGACGAACGAGAAGAAAAAAAAAAGAGAGTTGTCTCTCTCTCTCCGGGTTTCATACCCTATCTGTGGGAACCAAAAGGAAACTGGAGAAAGGCCCGCTCATTGCCCCCACTCCACTGCACGGAGGAAACCTAGAGGCCGATCCGATTACGAAACCCTGGGGCTGCCACTGGGTACACCGTCTGTACCTAGTCGGTCTGAGCAAGGCGGGTTGAGCTCACATCGTGGCCTCACGCGAGATGCGTTCTGTGTGATGTTTGGGTCGAATCGCCGAATCCTGCCTGGGTCTCCGAGTTCCAACATTCCGTTCAACCGAATTGGCCACTGGAGGCTGCAAGGTTCGCATGACTGTACATGTACAGCGAGCGTACCCCGTACTCATGGAGGTAGCGACGGAGTAACCAAGTTATCAAGTCCCCTACTCCGTCGAGAGGCTATTCAGAATCTACCTAACAATCACTCTTCGTCGATTCCTAGGAACAGACGGGGTAGGTAGGACAGACGTACGTCTTTCGCTCCGAAATATTCCTGGTGCCCAGCCTTCTAGAAGAGCCCTTTTGTCTTCCATGCATCCCGCTAGACATCTGTTCTGGCTGGCTATTGGTAGGAACTGCACAGATGGAATGATTGACATGCTGACGGGACCCCGAGGTACTCCTAAAAGTATGTACTGGGTATTCATGTAGTATGTCTATCTAGAAACTAACTATAGAATCACTATTCTCAGTAGTAGCTGCTCTAGAGAGTCAATATATTTTGTACAGAAGTATACAGATAACTCTTTCATGGTAGACCTATTCCGATTCTTCACGAGTGTACCCTTGGGTACCTGTATAGAAGTCCTTCGTACTATCCCGTATAGGCCCCGATCGCCAGGACCGTCGCGAACTAGACAATTAGTCGGGCGATTAGCTTATGCCTGTACATCCTGGAGAGCCATGACGTACATATCAAGTAGATCAGTAAAGTAGGTACCTAATATAGTATACAGTATTTTACCAGGTGTCCAGGCAATTCCTTGTGGTACTTGCTTTGCGCATGATGTTTAATAAGCTGTCTCCAGGCTCATAAAGTAGCCAGACAGACAGACTATATACTGATACCAGCTTAATAAAATTGGCTTACAAGAATACTGGGTTAGAGAGGTCTTTTCTTCGGAACAATTAGTATCGGGGTTCGATATTTAACCCGTAGAAGACAGGTTCAAAACCCGCACTCCGTATTGCGCTACCTAATCCCTGTTCAATAGGGATATTCCATTGGTAGTCCTATGTGCGATGCTTGTTTAGGTTGGATCACAAGTGGCATGACTCCAAGGCTGGTTATAAGCTGAGAGAGTCTATTATTCATAGTTACCAGGTCAAAGAGCAAAGTCGACTAACGCAGTACTACTTGGTTAGAAATCCCTTGATGTGCTGCCAGAAGGAACCGGGGATATTTAAATTCAAGGATAGGAACTCGTTGAATGAGTCAATCCATCGAGTATGCAGCGCAGCCATATCTCGAGAAGACCAGGGGTGTCTAGCGAAGATATCAATACCCCCCTGCTATCTGTATTCAATGTCACTGCATTGGTGTCGTCTGAATTTTTGTATCTTTAAATAGGATTAGATGATCAACAATATTGTCTTTTCAATCATGGATTGAGGACGTTCGTTTTATATTGTGTTCTGACGTATATTTCTCCTGTCCCACGGTCCTGTCTTCCAACTAATTAGCATATTGTCTCTTCTGATACGGTATGAGGATATAGGTGATTATGACTGAAAGTACGAGCTTGTCATACAGCAGAAGCACCATTAGGCAGCCCTTGGCCTAGAGGTGCTTCGGCAAGAGGTCCTCGCAGTCTCAACCCTCAAATCGAGATTATCCACCACCTACTTTCTCCCCGCTTAGACTCATAATGTATGAAAGATCAGCGGCAAGTTGGAATCAATAGAAACTATTCAATATAGGGATAAAGACAACCATGTGTCGTGCGTGGAGAAAGTTGTCGCGGGCGAGTTCTCTCCGCAGTGGTGAGATCACCACCAGCAGAGAAATCGTGTCTTATTGAGTAGAGACGACAGCCCTCCCCTGCTCACCATATCGGCTTCAAGCCTTCGTAGAAACCTTCTAGCTGCTCCAGCCTCGTCTCTCTTCCCCTTCCTCTCGAGTCTTGAAGTCCCACGATGTGGTCGGGGTCGGTGGGAAATAGTATTAATCCGCCGCTGGACGCAGAAACAAAAAGCCGGATCTCCGCGTCGGCGCGATTCATCCGCAGGATAAGAACAAGAGTCCGTCTCGGCCGCAGAAAGCCTTCTTCAGCAGGCATGAGAAATGGCCTCGCCGGGCGTGCGACCGACGACGATGTTTGCTGTGTCCTGTTCACTGCGCCCGAGAGCCCTCGGCGCTAAGCTCACTCTGCTTCTCCCCGCCCTGCGAAATTTAGCCTGTAAAATCTGCGCTCCGTCGCGTCGCTCCCTCCGACAACTTTCCTCTCTTCCCTACAC